ATGCAGGCGGGGTGGGACCCGGCCTAGGCGGGGCGGGCTGGGGCGGCACCAGGCACGTGGCCTCGGTTCCTTCTACTGGGCGCAACAGCACAGAAGCCAGGGCTTAGAGTGCAGCTTTTCAAAGTGTTCTGTGGCCAGAAGGGCTGGAGGCACCCTCACAGCCTTAGCACAGCTGGGCCCTCCTCTGGGCGGCGCCCACCCTGCGGGCCTCATGCCTCCCGCCCGGCCTGCACTGCTGCAGCGCCGGTGTCCTGACCCCCGTGCCCTCCGGCCACCTGGGTCGGTCTCCGCTGTGTCCCTGCACCTTGCTGACTTGTGGGAGGAGCTGGAGGTGCTAGGACAGGTGCCCGGGCTGGAGGGAGGGAGCGTAGCCCCGGCCACAGAGGCTGTGGCTGGTCATCGCCGCGCCTGTCCTGTTTCTGGAAACATGAAGTTTATTCTGCAGGAACCCAGCTGTGCTGAGAAGCAGGAGCCAGCTCTGCTTTAATGAAACATCTCTGTGGGTCATTAGGACCGTGAGCGGCAGGCCTCAGGAGCCACGGAAGCCAGCAGGTGGCACGGTCAGGGTGCTGCATCTGGCTCGGCGTCGGGCAGCTGCTCAAGGGGGTCACTGCCTGCACTGGACGCAGGCCAGCCCTCTGGAGCAGAGGTGGGAAGATGAGGCCGTGCTGCCCCCGCCCCAGGGAGGCCCCAGGTCTGCGGTCTTGGCCTTCATGGGGTGCTGAGAGTAGGGATGTTCTCGGAACCTTGTCGGGGGTGAGCCGGGAGAAGTCGTGGAAGAAATAGGGGATGAGCCTAAAAACAGAGGCGGGCTTCCAGCAGGGAAACCCAGGGACGCTATCTAGGTGGAGATGGCAGAGGCCCCTGGCCGAGGGGTAGTGTCCCACCCCCAGTCCCCAGCGAGGCAGAGCTCCCAGCTCTGGCCCTGGCAAAGCCACAGGCTCCCTGCAGGTGCCCCTTGTGACCACAGGGTGTGACCCCCTCAGAAGCATCTTCCCCGTGTTCGGTCCATCCAGGGCCCCTGAGGCACTGTTGATCTTGACTGCGGGGCACAGAGGAGATTCGGGATCCATGAAGTAGATGAGGATGTGGGGGCTGCTGCTGGCCCCGCGAGCCCCCAGCTGAGGAGGGAGCAGGCCGCAGAGCCCTCAGACAGCCAGCGCCCCTGGGCCTGGGGGCCCCTCTGCCAGGACTGCAGGCCCTGGGCTGGGCCATCGGTGTGTCCAGGGAGTGTGCCGAGAGCTGCCCCAACCTGAGGCTTTGTTGTGTTTTTTGTAAAGCGGTAGAAGATTGGCAAACGTCCCCCGAGATGCACTTTCATACTTCTTTCGTGTCATTTGCAAAGGAGCGTTCCCCCTCCCCCCACCTGACTGAGCTGCTGGCTGTGGCGCTGTGGTCCCTTTCATGAGTGAATTCACGTCCAGCTGCCTTTCTGGAGCTCTTTTCCCGGGCAGGGCCCCCTCTCCTGGGCTGGGGCCCCCCCACAGTGCCGGCTGACTGGTGCTAATGGTGGGGAGGACGGGCCAGCGCACTGTGCTCCCTGGCCTCCTCCTGGGCTGCCTGGCCCCTGTGCCCACCCTGTGAATCTACTGTGCTACCCCCGCTAGGCCTGACGGGCAGGGCGGGCAGAGGAGGGACCGGAGGGACGCCCCTGGCACCTGCCTCCCCAAAGGGGGCACGGCAGCCCTGCAGGCGCGTGGCTACTGCGGCCGGCCGTGCAGGTGAGGCCACTGGGTGGGTGTCAGCAGGCCAGCTGGGGTTCCCCGCTCCCTACGGCATCTGTCTGCTTGGCTGTTAGGCGGTGTTACGTGGGGACCCTCTGGAGGCCGCTGGTGGCTGCAGTTATCCACCGTGGCCTGGGGTGTGTTCCGCGTGGGAAGTAGTGGTTTGTCGCACATGCCTCAATGTCCAAAGCCCCTTTTACATCACACACACTGGCTCCCACTGTCCCAGAAGCCAAGCTCCCAAGCGAGGCCCGTAGGCAGGCCTGCGCCCCGGCCTCCCCCGTGCCCGACTGAGCCACGTGTAATTCCAGAGCCGCGGACGCCCTCCAGGCCGGTGCCGGCCTGCAGTGCCCCACCTCCCTGCGCCTCCTGCAGACGTGGAGGGGGCACGTTCTGAGCCCGCTGTCCCTGGCCAGGGTTGCGGAGCTCGTGCCAGCTGGGCAGCCTCTTGCCCAGTGTCTTCTACAGATCTGGCTCTCGGAGAGCAGAGGTGCGGCTGCGTCGTGTCTGTCCCCAGCCGAGACCGTGTGGGGTTCGGAGCAGGTGCGCCCAGGGGACTTAGACGAGAAGTGGCGAGTGCACGCGGGGGTGATGCTGACGCTGGATGAACAGATGTGCGCGTGAGCAAGCGACTGTCCAGTGAATGAGTGCGTATGTGAGTGAATGAGTGAGTATGCGTGAGTGAGTGTATGAATAAGTGAATGTGTGAATATGTGAATGAACGAGTGAGCATATATAGGCATGAAGTGAGTATGTGAATAGATGAATGACTACGTGCATGAATGAGTGAGTGACCGTGTGGGTGAGCGAACAAGTGTGTGGATGAGTATGAGTGACTGAGGATGGATGAGTGGGTGACTGTGGGTGAGTGACTGTGGGTGAATGAGTGAGTGACTGAATGAATGAGTGAGTGTGACTGGATGAATGAGTGAGTGTATGAATGAGTGAGTGTGACTAGATGAATGAGTGAGTGGATGAATGAGTGAGTGTGACTAGATGAATGAGTGAGTG